CATCCTAGTTGCAGCTTTAGTCTCCATGGTTTAAAGTACCCATGGTCAACCATGATCCAAAAATATTAAATGGGAAATTTGAGAAATAAATAATTCATAGGTCTTAAGTAGCATTCATCATAGTATATTATAACTGTTCTATTTTTATTATCAGTTATTTCTGTTAATCTATTCATATGATGAATTTATAAATGAAATTATCATAGGTATAGATGTGTAGGAGAAAACATGGTGTTTATGTAGGCTTCGGGCTTCTCTGTGGTTTCAAACATTCACTTAGGGTGTTCAAACGTACTTCCTGTGGATAAGGGCAGCATTGTGTTGTCAATGTGATTGTCGTGAAAATGGGTGTACAAATATCTTTCTAGGTCTCTGTTTTTAAATGTGAGAAGTTTTTACATTCTAGGTTCCCGTGGTAATTCCATTTTTACACTTTTGAAGAATCACCAGAATGTCAGTGCTGTGGTCTGAATGTGTGTTGCCCTGATCCAATTCCTATGTTGAAATCCACCCCGAGGTAAAATTAGGAGGGGATATTTGGGAGGCGATAACAGCCTAAGGGTTAAAGCTTGACCAGTGGGGTTGGTGTGGGTATGAAAGAGGCTTCTGGCATCTCTCCACTCCTGCTGGGGAAGGTCAGAGCTAGGAGACAGCTGATGTGAGTAAGCAGTCCTAACTGGACACCAAACTTGTCAGCCACTTTATCTCAGATTTACCATTTTCCAGAGCTGTTAAGAAATAGTTTCAAATGATGACAGTGAATATATTTTGCTATATATGAAATGATGCATCGCATGGGTTTGGTTTTGCATCACCTCGGGTAGAGACTTCTGTACCATTGCTTGAACTGTTAAAGAAGTTGGATAAATTACAGAGCACTTGGAGACAGCTAAGGTTCCCTGGACACGTGATTGTGAGGGCTAATCAAGTGCAAGGCTGACTGGGGCCACTGTGACGTGATGATGACGCTGAGGTGGGCAACTTACGTTCCTCCGAGGGACTGTGTACGGACGAGGCTCCTACAGCCAGGGACCTCCTCAGCACTCTGAGGCAGGGCAGATGGCAACATGGTGTGTGTCCATGTTGATGAGACGTTTGCCAGTCTTACGGAAGCTGCAGGTCTGTCACAGCAGATCTCTGTGGGATCAAGTAGATGATTCGAGGTGCTCAGTGGGGACCATGAGGTGGCGTAAGAATGGAAATTTTACGGAAACAATTTATTAAAACTTGTAATAAAAAACAATGTTAACTGTACACCCCAGTCTCTGTCTCTGTTTCTGTCTCTGAATCTCAAAGACACACAGACACACACACACAGTTCCTGGGAAGAGATATTTCAAATATAAAATCAACTAAGAAGGTGAAATTTAAACTATCGGCTCTACCTGCCTCTCCAGGAGAGCAGGGCACGTTAGCAATGACCTCGCAAAAACTCAAGGGCCCATGTACCAGGTACCTACCCCACTCCTGATGTCAGCACACACACTAGCTACCTGCTGGCAGCTGGTGAAACCAACCCATCCTGGTTCTGTTCCTATTCCATTAGGAATGGTCCTTGCCAAAAATCATCGCTCTGATTTGTTTATCACATTATATTATATAACGTTATTGAGACTCAGCAGATATAGAAGCAAATGAGATGCCACCTGGTCTACTCAAGTGAATATTTGAGAACCTGCTTTCCCCTGACTTCCTCGTGTGCATGGGAATTGCAGCTGTGTCTGCAACATCCGTGAGCTCAACAGGGAGGACCAGAGATGATCTTTTAGAATATTAATGCAAATAATAAAAGATTATCTTCAGCCTATGTGCAATATTGTAAGGGTAAGTTCACGATCTTGGTTTCCTATTAACAATTCAACCCACAAAGGGATGCTGTGTTTGCTTCTTCTGCCAATTTCAATGACAACTACCTCCAAATCAATGATAATAAGATGACGGCAGGAGCTTGTGCCTCCTGTGTGGCATTAGAGACTTGGACAAGCTGTGGACCAGTAGTTTCACAAGTGCTGGATAAAACATCCAGGTGATGGTCTCTCTCTACCATGAAGGCGGAGGGCGGGAGCCTCGTGTCGGGCTAGGCTATACCTGAGTGGCCACCTCACCTTATATTTGCTGATTAGGGTGAATCTACCCTGTCTGATCCTGGACTGACAAGGTCAAGAAAGTTTCCCTGGGAAAAAGTGCCAGAATTTCCAACAGGATATGCATACTAGGATCCAAGGCAAAATGCAGGTCTGTGGAGAAGTTCACCGCTTCTGACAAACCACAGCTATGTACATGTTTAATAAGAGAGAGTTGGCCTCAAGGTAGAACACAAAGTGCTGAGCTAATTTCTAAAAGGAAAAAATGGATGGAAATGGATTCTATCAGCTCTTTAAAGTCGAAAACATCTCAAAACTAGGACTGGGGATCTGAAAAATAAGAGACTCCTCACTGCAGTCTTCACTTCCTTCCCCCCTTGCAGCCACGCCGGGATTTTCAGAGCCTGGGGATGCTTGTGCTGTGAACTGCGGTCATCTGAGAGCAAGCTTGCCATGGAGGCCCTGGGTAGTGGGGTCTGGGCCATGAGCTATGGTGTCTACCTCAGGCTCCAGTAGCAGCCGAAGGCTATATAGAATGGCTTAGAGGAGCACTGAAAGAAAGAGCTGACAGCCAGACCGGAAAAGGGAAGCTTTCCCGGCCGTGTTCAGAAAATATAAGACGTGTTCAGATATGCAAATAAAGGATGCCAGGAATTCCTGATGAATATTAATTGTGAGAAACAGGCACACACATTAGAAATAAAACCTGGTTCCCTGTGCACAGAGAGTAGGTCTACATCTTCAAAGACAAAATTCATCTCGCAAAATGAGTCTTTGTGTTTTCTTCTCTCCCCTGAAGAAACTTCCAAAACATTACAACCACTCCAAGGATTTTTGACTGATTTACTTTTATGAGTGAAAATTGGAAGTTTCTTCTTATTTAAAATACCACCCAGGATAGGTACCACGGACCCTTAAAATGCACGTTGCCAGTGTTGCTGTAGGTGGCCAATTTCTGACGTCAAAGTCCCATTTCCCCTACAAAGCTGACTGTCAGGTGTTCTCATCTACTGAGAATGCAGAACTTTCTCTGGTCTACAGATTACAGAGCTATTTGTGGATGAGATGTCAGTTGCACTGAACATGCTTCCCCTCATCTAGTTCCTCTTGTTGCTGAAGTAGTGATTTTGAATTTTGAATCTGTTGTCTTCTTTATACAACATAATGCACATGACTTCACATAGACATAGAGGTTTTGCAGTAGGATGTGTTTATCAGATTTAAGGCCCTATATGAATCGCACAGGGAGCTTTGTCTTTTACTTGAATGTCTGGGTTCTTGGCCTTTAGCTTGGTGAAGTTGGCACTGGAGTTAAGGACCTGAAATCATTTTCCAAGGGGTAGCTTGGTGTGGTGGTGCACACCTGTAATCCCAGCACTTGAGAGGCAGAGGCAGAAGGATTGCCACAAGTTTGAGTTCAACCTGGGTTACATAGTGAATTCAAGCCCAGCCTGAACTGCACAGTGAGACTTTGTCTCAAAAAATAAAGAAAGAAAAGAAAAGAGAGAAGAGAAGAGAAGGAAAACAGTTCCATCAAGAGCCATGGGTTGATATCATTAAAAGAGATGTTTTCAGTGACTTGTGCAGTGATATGCTTTTAAGTTCAAAGGTTGTAACTACTCATTTTTACCTGTTTTAACCCTTGACAGTATTTAACCAGGTCTCCCACCAGAATAACAACCATTTGAAATTTTGCAAAATCAGAAAAGGTTATTCTTTAAGATCTTGAGGAGTCCAAACAAGAATGTGAATCATTTGAATGCAGCATTTCTCGAACAGTACAGAGATTGGTCACAGGGTATTTAGAAACCAATGCCCTAGAGGGCTCTACAGCCAGTGATTTTCATGGACAGTACTTTTTTAGTAACACAGAGAGATGCTCTCTGGTGTTACCAGAATAGTCTGTAATCCCCAACTTTGCTAAGGTTAATAGTATTAAATTTGTATTTAGCTATCTTAAATCTATTGTAACAGTGGTTAAAGGAATTAAATAACTGAATATATACAAGTATGTCCAAATAAACGGATCCATAGATTAAAAATAAAAACAAATAAACACATGAATAAACAAACAAAGCAACCAGAAAGGAGATAGAGTTAGTAAGTACCCAGGCAAAGGATGCTCATTTTATGCTAACGAGTTACAGAAGGTATCTCTGAAATGGTACATGGAGAATGGAAGTACTGGACAAAGGGCCTGACAAGGGGTACCAGCTAGACTCATTAAGGAAGAAATATTTTCCAGCATAGGTGAGAAAAGGAGAATCAGAGGAAAACATAGCCAATGTGATGGAAGACGGGGAGACATGGGGTGTGGATCCTAAATGCAGAGGAACCAGAATGCTTGGGGCTTCATAGGCCACTGTCAAGATCTCAGCATTTATATCCAACAGATGCATATTTTTTACTTTTAAGAATCCACAATAGCAGATGAAATTAAAGTTTACCCTTGCACCAGGACTCATTATAATTTGCCGCATGTTAGTTTTCCAGTAGTGAGTGAATGTTGAACTATCCACTATTCCTAATCCTACCCTTTTCATTGCCAAAGCTCTTATTTGTTGACATTAGATGTTTGTGGCTATGGAATAAAACAAAATTAACTGCTACTGTTGCTGATTTAGTACCAAATACTAAGCAACACAAGTACTAACATCCTTCAGTGATTCATTTATTCCTGGACTATCTTTCTCTGTGACCATTTCTAGGCTAGGAATTAAACTGTGAAGTTGGGAGGACAAGGACAGGATTGCTTCTCATACTGCATGCCTGTTGGTATAACTGATCATTTGATAATATATGCAGAATATATAAATTATTTTACAAATGGGATAAAGAGTGAAAAGTATATAATTGCTTTTTAACTTTATGGAATGTACAGTCAAGTGAGAGATTTTTAAATAAAGACTAGTATTCAGTCGAAAGTGTAATAAAGGAAGGATTATTTCATAGTGGAAGGTGATTAATAATTCCAGAAATTACTGACAAGACGGCTGCTGTCTAATAGAACAACATAAACAAAAGTCAATGAAATACCGATCTATGTTCTTGGAGAAAACTGGAAGGAAAGGACTAAGAGTACAATTTGCATATATTTATGATTTGTTTATAAAACAATCAGTTCAAATGGTAAAATACATCTAACAAAATTAAGCCACTTTTATAAAGGGAGACAGGATGTTTATTGGATTTACTTGGAAATTTCTGAAAAAATAATCTAAGATTTTGGCAATTTACCACAAGGCTTATTCTGTGAGCATATCCACAAAACACAAATTTGTTGCTCCTGTATCTCATCAGAACAAGAATAGGCTGAAAAACTCAAGAGTAATTTCAAAGCAGACGTTGCTTTCTCCCATATTCTTCTCATAGATAATTCATTAAAGGCTTGCAGATGTCAATTTGCAAATCAAAGGCATGCTTGTATCTTCAGGTTCTCAAATTTAAAAGGAGAAATGCATCCATGTTTATGGAGGATATGCCATTTCAATCCATAATTACCTGTCAGCTTTCAGAAAAATGAATATTCAAAGACATAGGAAGAATCATCCATACAACAAAAACAAAAACATCATTGATTGTTCTAGAATGTATTGAATAAGTTGTTATTTACAAACCCTACTATGAATCTAATATTACCTAACACTGCTCTTACAGAACACTGAAAAAGAAATAATCTATCCTACAGAATCTTGGAAATAAGAGGCAATGTTCATAGTTTCTTCAGCAAGAGTTGACAAGCTCTATTATACCCTAATATACTCAAGAATTCCAAGGTGTGCTGGAAAAGTATTCTCTGTTCTAGTTATCTGACTCTATCCTTACTGTGGAAAGTACTCTATCCCCAAAGAAGGGCATGCCAGATAGAACTCTACTTACCAAAGCAGAGAGGACACTGCATTTATCTCAGGGATAGTCATTAGCAAACTGTTGTTTTGGAAGATTCTCAGATTAAGGACACTCAAGTGTCACTTGCTGCAGTATTTACCAGATCCCAACCAGATGTGTTCCAAAGTCTGAGTGCTACAGTGTCTCTGCTGATATCAAGGCTTGTGAATAATCTCTATTTATGTGAATCATGGAAACCATTAATTAAAAACCACTCTAGAACTTTCCCACAGCTGATGCATTTGGGAAAATCTGGGAAAGAAACTTTTCAAGTGAAGAGAAATGAATCCATAAGAGTTTGAGCAACAGGGATGGACGAATCCAGTGCTTGGTATCTTTTCCAGAGAAAATCTCCTGAAATTCAAAAAAGCAGAAGACAGATTAAAATAGAAGTGAAGACGTCCAGATTCTATTTCAGGATTTGTGACTAAAAGCTCATGACCTCAACCCTTCAATTTCCTTTACTGTTAAACTAGAAAGAAAAATTATGTGAACTCTTCGAGCTTTGCAATGGTTTTCCAACTGGACACGTTGATGGTATGTTATGAATGAAATGGACTCCAGGAACATCGGCAATATTAGGAGGGGCAGCCAGCGGGAACTAGGAGGACAAGAACTCCAGCAGGCAGTTCCGTGAGCATGGAAGGCCTTGGCTGCCAGGACCCTATTAATTCCATCTGCAGCAAGAGGACGGAATGCCCGATACAGGCACGCAGAGACTTTCTGTCGCCGGGCGAACCCGGTCACCCTAGCATGGCCCCAGCAGCCGAGCGCTCAGGTTTAATTGCAGAGTTGCCACTTTATGATAATAGCTGGTTTGGGGTTGCAGTTTGTGCCCTCAGCCTCTAAAAGGTACATGCCATGCATCCCAGGCCATTGTTCAGCATCCAGATAACCAGATACAAATGAGCCAACTAGAAAACTAAAGGGACACAGCTCCCAGTAAGCCACAGCTTTCGGCTTTGCCTAGCAAACTGCTTGCCAGGCAAAGGTAGTTCGTGTGAGGCACGTGGAGTGCAGCCTCTGTGCTGTGTGTGTTAGTTTCCTTTTGCTCCTTTTCTTTAAAATGTCAATTTGCAGTTCACAATATCCAATTATTAAAGGGTATGATACATTATAACTGTGGATCTCAAATAGCCACTCAAGTAAGTTTTAAGAGATACAATCTAAAACTCCTAGAAAGGCAGCTTTCTCAAACCTCAGCAGACAGCATATTGATGAGGACTATTTAAGAGGTACAGTACTGCTTGCTCAAACTAGGATTCTTTAAAATCTACCTTGCCATTAGGTCAAACCACCAGAGAAAGAAATTTCTAAAGAAATTTATATCATCTTAAACTGTTGTTGGAACAAGACAGATCATAGATAAATGGATACAAAAGTATGAAGATCAGGGAGGTGGGTCGATATTTCTCAGGTCTCCTGCTGAGAATTTGCAAAGAGGAGCACCTCTTGCTTATTCAGCAATCATTAAGTATTAGCCTGTGGGCTGCAGGGCAAAATATCACACTCCATCACCCTCGTAAATCCTGTATGTGTTTAGGTAGTCATATTTATTTCCTTTCCTCTCCTTTCCAGTAGTAAAAGGAACCCCTTCCTGCTCCTCAGCTTTTTAAATGAGTGCACCAGAAGCAGGGGGCAAGGCGAGGTTTTGTCCTTTCCGCTGCAAGTTCTTTGGTTTAGGAGGTGGTGCAGCAGCCATGTTGGTCTCTTCTCCATCCTACACGAAGCATGCTAACCTGTCAGAGAGAACCAAGGCTAACCAGAAACACGGGGAGGCAGCGTCATCAGTTAAACTGTGTACTCCAAAAAGAGAAGCTGAAATCCTAACTGTTCCTGTGACGATATATTTGGCATTGGGCATAGACACAGAGACTTAACCATAAGTGAAGAAGGCTGTGTGGCCATGGATACCGGCCTGGGACTGCTGCCGGCCAAAGACCACCAAGGAGGTTGAGCAACCACCAGAGCTGGCAGAGGCGTGGAAGCTTTCTTCCCTGCCATGTTCAGAGGAGCACGGCTGTCAATACCTTGCCTTCAGTCTGCTCATTTCCAGAGCTGTGAGAGAATAAACGTCTGTAGTTTGAAGCCACACCATTTATGTTTGCTGTGGCACCTCTAGGAGACTAATGCAGGTTACTTTCTTTAAGACCCATTTAGTTCAGTTCTTTCCTTGCAACTTTTTTTTTTTTTTTTTTTGAGACAGGGTCTTGCTATGTAGCCCAGGCTGGCCTTGAACTCACTGTGTAGCCCAGGCTGGCCTGGAATTGTCCAAC